TATATCATGCATGTAACTTTTAGGGTTACGACTTTTGAAGCAAGTACAAAATAGTTCCGCCTCAAGAACTATTCTATTGCATTGATTAATAATCATTCGACATCCTTTTGATCAATATCGTTTCTTGTCATTTCTTTATTACATAATATAGAATCTATCGATCTTTATTGTTTCTCACAGTGTTCCTGATTAGGGACTTGAGGTATGTATAGCGTATGGATGATCTTCAACCATTGTGTTTGTCTCTAGAGCTTGGACTGTTGGGCTTCCGATTTTGTGAAGTTCATTGATGGGGATGGCTAGTAGATCCAGTTTTGGGAATTCCCGTTTAAGTGGTTTTCTCTATGAGTTGGGTCGTAGAGTTGGGAAGAGAGGTAGTTGATGCAATTGAGTGTTTCAATCAAGTGGGTTGTTTGTTGGAATCATTTGGGTTTTGGATGGTCCTCCGAGTTCGATGCAGATGCGTTAATTATATGAAATGGTTGGAAGGATCATATGGCTTGTGTTAGTGTAGTTAAAATTCTAACCGAGTCATATTTCGAGAACGGAATCCAGTTTAAGTGGGGGAGAATTGTAACACCCAGTTTTTCAAATGTTTCTATTATCGGAATAGCGGGTTGTAAATAGATCAAGTAAAAGTTTTGGTTTCAATGGAATAGAGTTTATGTAGCACTTCTTGCAATTAAATGTTTCTTTTCTGTATTGGGCATTTGAAATGTTAAAAACAAGGATGTTTAGATGGTCATGACGTGATGGTGGATGCATCATGACATGGGCATCAATGCATAAGGCATGCATTCATTTTGGGCGTCATGACGTGACGAATATCTTGTCACGTCATGATGGTTTTCTGAGTGTTAACCCTAATCTCAGGTTTTGTGCTTTATTTAATGGAAGTGAGGGCTAGGGTTTGGACACCCTCAACATCCATCACCTCACTCTCTGCACTAAGCGAACATAGTATCCATTGTTGGTCTTGAGAGCTCCTTTGGTGGGTTTTAGCTCCTTGTTGAATAAGAATGTTCCTTTGGTCCATTGTTTCATCAATCAAGCATCCTCTTCACCATCTTGTGGTGTTTCTGGACCCTTGTAAGTCCTCAAGTTCTAGCATTTCTCGATTAAGCATGCTAGATCTAGGTTTTACCCACTTTTCTCCATGTATGGGTTGAGTTGAATGCATGGAATCCACAAAGTTAGCAACTTTATGGATCTTTGAGGTCCTTTTATAAGCTTAAGTCTCAGATCTAAAGTTTGGTGGTGGATTGGACTCCATGCATGAGTTTTGGTCTCATTTTTCCTTTATTTTGACATAGTTGGTGTTCAATACAAGCATTGGACATGGATGTCTAAAAAAACTATGATTTTTTAGGGTCCTTAGGTTGGATAAAGCCTTCTGGAAGATTTGAAGGTTTGGCTTAAGGATTAAGAGCTTAATGTTTTAAGTTGTCTAGATCGGGTCTCACGATGTGATGAGTTATATGTCACTTCGTGAGATGAGCGTTTCCATGATTGTTTTGTCCTAACTTCGTCACGACGTGACCCATGGGTAGCCATGACGTGACAATTAGTTGGGGGTTGGTTTTATCATTGACTCTTGACCTTGGTTGACTTTTGGTCATACTAAGGCTTTAGGGTGTAGAGTAAGAGGGTACGTCTTGATTGTTGTTAGGTGTCTCGTTATGCATGTTTACCCTGTGTGTGAGATGTTGTGTCTTAGTTGCTATTCGCGAGGCGAGTCTTCTCACTATATTTGCCTATGTGGTAGTATATGTGTGTTGACTAGCTGGGTCTTATTTGTTGATTTTTGTTATATATGAACTGAGTTGTTGATAACTCATGGACTGTTGTGATTCTATGGCATTGCTGATAGTCCCTAGGGTTGTTGATAACCTGTGAGGTGTGTTGTTAATCCACAGGGCGTGATGGTATCCTACTAGGACCGCTGATAGTCCCTAGGGTTGCTGATAACACATAACTGATTATTATGATGTGTTGTATGCGATATTTTTGGGAAGTTACTAAGATTTTTGCTTATAGTTGTAGATTAAATATTTTGCAGTTACTTATCGGATTGCGAAGGTGGGACTGTACACACACATTAACAATTTTATGATTCGAGATTCTGCATTGTCTTCATTATGACTCTGATTTCTGAATAATGGTTTATGAACAGATGGGTTGCCTTGAATGCAGGGTCGGTCCAGACGGTGGGCAACCCGGACGACCGCCCAGGGACCACGTCTCCGGGGGGCCCAAATTTCTGGGCTATGTAGTGTATATATATAAAAAAAATTATTACATAAATGATTTTTAGGGCCTAAAGTTAGTTCAAACTCAAACTAGCTCAAAAGATAAACAATTTGACTTGTTTGTTATTGCTAGTTGAACGCGTTTATAGTGAAGAATAAATGACCTTTTTTTAAATCTTTATTATATTTGTCTTTAAGGGGCCTTTTTTTTTCTTTTCGCCCTGGGCCCCATATACGTTTGGGTCGGCCCTGCTTGAATGTAATTTTTTCTAAATAGATGTTTATATTATGTTAAAAATGAAAATTTTAGCATGGGATTTTGGGATGTTACACTTGAAGGCAACTTCATTGGTTCTATGAGGTGGACTATAGAGAAATGAAGATGATGTTGTTGATGTAGAGTGAAAATGAAGGTGGTAGTGGCCGATGGAACTAAATGTGGTGGTTTTTTTAGAGAGAAAAAAAAAAGGAAGGTGGCAGTTCTTGGTAGAGACGGGTGAGAAAGGTGGCGACTTTAGGGTTAGGGTGGAGTGGGGTAATTTCTAATGAATAAAATATTAATTTAAGATGGAAAAAAGAAATAAAAATTAATAAAAAAAAATCAAATATGGGTAAAATAGTAATTTTATATCATTTATGAAATAAAATGAAACTACATGAACCACCCATGCAATAACTTGAAACAATAGGGGCCGCCTGCGTAGCAAAAAAATAAAGATGTACACACGACCTTTTGTATCGACTCTCGCCCCAATAGGCAATAGCAGTTCCCACTGAAACAATTGTATCGCCTCTCGCCCCTATTAGTTTTGCACATTCTAACACCTCAAGTTGATAATTATCCTCATGCTTTTTATTTTCGTTCATGATTTGATTTTATATATTCCTCTCTAGTCTAGATTCCTCGTCGATTCTTCTCCACGTATTTTTTTTTCTTGAATTAGTTATGAAGATAAATTTATAGGATTTTATGGTATTAAAATATTATTTTAATTTTTATGCACTCGGTTGTGTAATTTCAAGTTTTGACTACATGTTTTGTAGTTTTCAATACTTGTGTAATTTCAAATTTGTAGTTGGTGAGGGTATCATCGGAGAAGATGAGATGCTCGTGGTTACGAATTTTTAAAAAATGATGGAAACAATATTAGGATGATATTTTAATCATCACCTTGATGGCATGAGGACAAGATTGACATGGAAAATCACTCTCCAAAGGATGTGACCCAGGATCGATCCCTGTTGGCCTTAATTGAGGGTGGCAAGGAGAAGGCTTGGAGCAGGGGTTATGAAAACATATTTTCGTAAAGATTTAGAGATAGACACCTAAAAAAACAGAAAAATTGTAGAATTGTCAATTGTCATTTTACCAAAACACTAAGGATATCAATTTCTCAAATCTTCATTAATAAATGAAAATAATTTTGTCACATGTCATTCTCTCATTAACTTGGATACATGTCATTTTTTGGTATTTTTGATTAAATGTTTTTTCCATTTGTCATTTTCTTATTTTTTTTATTTTTTTTTAATTAACACATCATATTTACACTTCAATTAATCATTGTTTTAATTGAAAATAACCAATAAATTATAATATTAGTACTCATATAGTATTTAATTTTAAATTTCAAATCTAAAATTTTAAATTTAAATAATTTTTTTTTTAAAATTTTATATTTAATTTTTGTGTTACCAAACCCGTATAACGTGAAACACCTTGTATTGTAACATGGATAAAGATGTATAGGTCATGTACCAAAACGCTAATTTACTCTTCTCCAAAAGAAACGGGCAGCGGGCAGCGACCTTCTCTATTACTACCACCCATGTCTTAAAAATACTCCATTACCCTTCCCTATAAAACCCCAACACCTGAACCCTTCTGTTCCCCACTATCTGCTCTCACAATTCTCTTCTCTCCCACAATCTTCATCGAGAATTGAATTGCAGAGCTCATTCATGGAGGCAACAAAGATGATGAAGCTTTTCGCCATAATGATGGTGATGAGGATGGCCGTCTCAGCCATCTCTGTCTCCGCCGCAGAGGCTCCGGCTCCAGCTCCTACTTCCGACGCCACAACCGTCTTCATCCCCACCGCCATCGCCTCTCTATCAGCACTCGTTTTCTCCTTCCTCTTCTAATTAATTCTACTCCAGAGTATGGTTTAATTTTCAGAGTTATTGTTACTATAAATATACCTATCAATTCTGCTCCCTCTCTTTTCTCCTATTTTAAATAGAAGGAAGCGAGAGAGAAGAATGTAAATCTTCTATCTATATTTCTGTTTGAGTTTGGTAGATTAATAAGATTTAGTTCGTGATATTAATGGATTTGATCTGTGGATTTGGGAGGAACTAGTACTATTTTTATGTTAAATCTGACGATGTAATCAGTAACTCCATACTCATATTGTATCATTCTTGTTTCTTATTGAATTCATAATTATATCTTTTTATCTATGATTCTGTTTGAGTTTGCTAGTATTTAATGAAATTCAGTTCCTGATTTTATTGGAATTGATCTACGTTTTTTGGAAGATCTATTATATGGACAGTTGTTCTTTATCGGAATCATTGTAGATAGTTTCATATTAATTTGATCAAATTCTTAGTGTTGCTTTCTATCATCTCAAAAGTAAAACAAATCTCAATGCGTTTGCACAATTGCACCTTTGTAGCTTTATTCGAAATCTTGCTTTCCGAACCTGTGCTTTGGGAATAGCATTCCCACTTCGTAGTACATGATTCTACTTCAAATTTCACATTATTATTCCTTTTGAGGAATTTTAGAATTTTATTAATGGGGGTCAATTAAAATTAGGTGAAAAGTAATAAGATGATCATTAAATAGTTTCTGCTTTTTCATAATTATTTAAAAACATTTGATTAATAATAGTAAGACACGTTCACTTAATGCTCAAATATCTTTAAACAGTTTAGACGTCTTGTTATGTCACTTTGAATTAAACCTTAAGTGTTATTTGTGTATGACTTAATGAGGTGGTAACTTATATGAATGTGGAATTGTTTATTTAACTGGAATGCTGGATTATATTCAATTACTGTTTGATTGTCAAATTGACACTTATAAAAAAATTATAAGTTTCATCTTTGATAGATTTTAGTATTTCACAATTCATAGTTATAAGAATTTCAATTTTATTATTTCCGGTTTATTAAAAACCTAGAATACACGCACTATTTAGACAATCAGATACACATAGCACATCATGGGCATGATGTTGAAGTGGTCATCTACATGGAGTGGTGCCTTGTTGGCATGGGCAGGCGTGGCCTCAATCACACACTTTTTTTAAACATATATCTCATTCTAAAATCAATTTACATTTTACTTATAAATATACACAAATTCAACAAAATATTTCCTCACTAGAATCTTTCATTCCATAATATATATATAAACTAGTTCTTTTCTCATCTACTTTTTTATACTCAACCAATGAAGTAAAAATCCAAACACACCACCACCTAAACGAAACCCAAACACTGCAAATCAAGATGGGTCGTTCTAGCTAAATACAACACCTCCACAATTCCAACAATACGATTCACAAACCGGTAGCTTCATGAGTATGCTTCAAGATTCACGAATTCAACATCACAACATTTTCTAACTATCATTTCAAATAAATAAATAAATAATAAAAAATCCAACAACCAATCTTATGCTCACAAAAAATTTCATTACAACCAAACATCTTCCAACAACAATAAAAAATTCATTTCAACCTTCTCAACCCCAAGTTGAGCCTGAATCGGTACCAATGTGCAACCGCATTTGGTACCCGAAAGTCAAAAGACAACCGTCCGAACTACTCAAAGCTTCTAATAAAAAAAAGAAGCAAAAAAACCATTCCGAAAAAAAAAGGTCCTAAGAATTGGTCGAAAGCCTGAGGAAGCCGCATTAGCACTTGCTTGGGTATCCCTCTCTCAAGATAACATTTTCAAAAACCTACAATGGTTTTTGGGAGCGAATTTTAGAACATTTTCAAGGAAGTGATAATAAAGTTTGTCATTATAACAAAGTTCTTTCTTCCAAATGGTGGGACATGAAAGCTAAGATTTTACCCAACTGAATGAGATTTACAACAATCTTAACAATCAATATAAAAGTTGAAGAAATGATTTCGACATCTTTGCTACCGCTATCCAACAATAACGGTAAAGGCACACTGGTAAAGCATTTATCCAGGTCAACGTATGGGAAGTTCTAAAAAAATACCCCGAAATGGGTACTCAATCAAGATGTACTTACGCAATCTACCAGATCCAACAAATGGCCTAAGACCTCTTAATCAAACAACTACACATAAATTTTGGACACCCAGACTACCGACCTCGACACTGGCGGTTTTATTATGGTGCCTGTAGTGGCACCGGCAACGTCTGGTTTTTCTAGATGCAGTGCAAAAAGTTTCGAATTTTTTTTTTTTGTCTATTATCGTGACACTACTAAAATTTTCTGACCTCAACGATAATGTCGATGAGATTCCACTAGAAGAACCCCTTCCACGGCATTTGAAAGGGATAAAGGGAAGCGACTTGCAACGTGTTTGGGTAAAAACGTATCGAAACCAAATAAGTTACATTCTTCGTAAGGAAATTTTTGAGGAACCTAAAACTAAAGATGGAGTTTAAAAAGGAAGTGAAACGTGAGCAACAAAGATTACTCCCGGAACAACAGTAGATAAATAACATGTCATTATAAATATAAATAAATAAAAAATCATTCTATTGTTGATTTTTATCTTATTTACTGTCAAGTGTCAACCAAATATTTATTTGATTACGATTACTTCATAATCCAATTCATTCCTTTATTTAACTCTTTTGACAGATTCTACTTTTTTTGCTAATCAATGGCTTTTTCGATACTCTCCTATTTCTCATAATTCCTTTTGATATTGTAATTATATGCAATTAAATTCACGATTAAGAACTTTAGTATAGCAGCTTTACTTAAATTATTCTTGTATGAAAACAAGGCGACGTAAACCATTTAAATAACAAGATGACTATTCTGTTATCCGAGAAGGTAAAAAAAAAAATAAGAAATTTATGGTTTTTTGCGTTCAAAATTCAAATTGTTGATCACAATAATTATGTTGATGAATTTGTTGAGTAGAAAAGGAGACATCTTTCACTAATTTAAAGAAAAGACAGAACGACTTTTTTTTAAGATGGAAAAGTTGAATTAACATGTTACCTTCATTATTGTTTTGAATTATTAAATAATAATGCTAATAAAACAAACAAGATTAACAATCAAATCAACCCCACATCATTGGAGAAAACTTGTGCTCAACTCCAAAAAACAGAAACTTCTATGGCATATCCTAAAGGCTAAAAACAGACCAAAAACTGTTCCATCTTACAAATATTAATAAGAAATAATTATTTACTAATGTAAATCAATTCCAAAATTTGTTACCATTATCTTTGTTTTATATACTTATATTGTTTGCTATAGATCTAATTCAAAAATTATTTGTGTTACAATTGTTATTATTGTGGTTTCATTTTGTTTTGCGATTGGTACGTTGTCCAAAATTAGACGTCAAATCATATCACATGCTGTGTGAGAGGTTGTTTTCATTCATTCTTCATAAAATCATTAATCACATTCACCAAATACGGAGATGAATAGACAAAAATACCCTCGGGCGTACGACTAGTGTAGTGTCCTGATTTTGGACTATGTGACCAAATCCAAAACAAAATGAAATCAAGTTGATTAAATGGAAACAATACTAGTTTTTGAACTAAATGCGTAACAAATAATATAAAACAATAACCAAGTTTATAACTTATTTTTCATGTTATGTGAGCAAAATTTAGGTCGATCAATAATGAAAAAACCAAAAGATATTTTGAGGATCACAAGATATGAACAATGAAGGTGAGGTAAAATGACAAATGAGATTTTGGCATCATGTGCATTGCACATGGGGGAAGAAGGCCTAACCCAAATGGGTGTCTACACATAATTATTGCTTTTCACTATCGAAAAGGGTCGGTTGGTTGGACCTTTGTCTCTCACATGGGTTAAATTGCCCCCACCCACCCCATGTTATCATCTCTCTCGGTATATCCTTCTATATTTATATTATATAGTTTTTTTCTTTTTCTTTTTTTACACAAATAAAACGGATTAAGTTCATGCCCATAGATGAGATTGTATTTGTTTTTATGTCATTGGACAGGACAAGATTTAAGCAAAATTTCTTCGCTATGAATAATGGCATTTACTGTCTTTTTCAACCTTTTAACAGAACAAAATATTATAGTTTTTGTCTCATTAATATTAATCATCTGTTTGACTAATGGACTAAAATAAGAGGTGATTATGTTGATCTATAATGCTTCACAAACACCCTTCAAAATCCAAATGTTGTTTTTGTACAAACAATCAACAACTCCTACCACTACAACACTTGATGACCATCTATGTATTTTAATCTCCCCTCTATTTCTCACAACCCTTGATAAAAACATTAACCCTAATCACCCAAAAAAAAACCTACAATCATGCATTTTTTTTTTTTAGTTATACATTGTACAACTATTTCTCCACAACCACTAACATCTAAACTTCTGATTTAATCGAAATCTGCGAGAGTTGTTTATCTGCAAAATGCAAAAGCCTTCTTAACCTCAACACCATATCACAATGAAAAGGAAGCGATGTTCTTCTTTCTAAGTACCCCGGGCTCACAGTCATCCAAGACAACGCGTGTAGCTCAGCTGCCACTCTATCCAAAATCACATGATTCTCCGTAGACTTTCCCATGTTCTTGGATGTTTTTTCGTTATTATTATTGTTGTTGTTATTATTATTGTTGTTGCTATTGTTATTGTTATTGCCTCCGTAGTAATCGAAAAGGGCTACTGAGAGAATCGAAGGCCATTCTTCTTTGGAGTTGGTTCTTGAGTCTTTTCGCATGGAAGGAACGGCTTTTGAGACTACAAATCCGGTGGAAATGGGAATGGCGGAACCCTTGCTGTGGAGGAGGTGGGCGAGTGGCGGTGATTCCGAGGTTAGGCAGGTGGGGAGTTGGAGGGGGTTTGGGGGGAGGAATCGCATGGTGGGTGATGGAATGAATATGTAAGATGCTGATGTGGAACCCAATGATTTTACAGGTGTGAATCCTTCCGTGTAGACCGATTGCCCCATGATTCCACTCCCTTGAGTTGTCCCTGTTACAACAAGAATTTAAACTAAATTAAACAGGAATCACATTCCTTGGAATGAACCATTCCATTCCTTCAAAAATAAAACTAACCTGGAGATGAATCTGCTTGATAAACCAACTGTAAAGAATGATCAACTGAAACCGATACAAAAGTTATACTTTGCACCCATTGAAGCAAACCCTTGGAATTATCCATTCCCATATGTCCACCACCACTCAAAATCTGCTTTCTAGAAGCCGCCTGTCCCATCCCACCACCTTTCATAAACCCACCACCCTTCCCATGAGTCGCCAGATTCCGATCTTGAATCATACCCATTTCAGAACCGCCATTACTACTCGCCGGAATCCCATCCGGCACCGATCGCCGGAGCTGCAACGACCACTTTTTCACCTCCGAGCCACCAATAGAATAAAGCGCTTTCTGCCATTCTGCATACACATCACATCACATTAATTAATTAACACGAGTATTGTAATTGTAAATTGTAATTTCCAAAGGGTAGAAACGTAATTATACCTTGGCATTCGAGTTCAAAGAAGCAACCGATACGCGTAATGACAAAATCTCGTGGCCTGGCGGTGGTGGTTTCCGGCGAACATGCCTGAAGTATCTGACAACCTTGTTGCAAAATTTGAACAAAAAGGAATTGAAGCCCCTTTGTGTCTTGTCTACTACTGATTCCACCGAATGGAAACGTATAGCTATCAAGCAATTCCCCTCTGGAATCAGTCCATATACAAACAAGCCACTTCCAATCCTCTGTCCATCCATAACAACAATGTAAACTCGGGGGCGGTTTATGGGTCGACCCGTATCCGTCATCCAACCCGTCTCCGGTATCCGAACTCGTCCCATCATCTGACAAAACCTTCAGTGATTCCGGCGGAATCCCGCGTTCCGGGGAATCCGCGAGAATAAAAAGCGGCTCAAACATGTATTTCAATTCATCTTGAAGAAAATATTCTCCCGTGACACGATTAGACATTTGCCATGAGTTGTTATCCCACTCGCCCTCTCTAGGTCCCACCATTCGAGGGGCAATTGAGTCTTTCCACATCCCTGGAATCGGCGAATTCGAATTCATTTGCATCATTCCCGAATGAGACTGCGACTGAGATCTAACCGATGGAATGGAATCGGTGATTCCGTTCCCTCGGGAGATTCTTCGGGCTTTATTGTAGACCGTGAAGGCGATTTCTTTCAAAATCACGGGCTCGTTGAGAGACGGGGTTGTGACACGAAAGATGGAATCAACGGTTATGATTTGGAGGACTAATTTAGGGACACTGAAACCGGAAATTGTCACGATGTTTGAAATTGATGCTTCATCTACAGCTGTTGTGCAACTTAAAGCCTTTCCAACTTGATTTTGTAAGGCGGATCTTCGTTCTTTATCGGATGGTGGACACATGGCAGATCCAATGGCTACACATGATTCAACCACGGTTTTTAAAATTGAAACGGGTTCGGGAAATGGGCACACCACGTATATTACCTGATTGATTACAAGTTAGTCCAAATTATTTGTATAGATTTGATTGATGAGTGATGACAAACAAACAGTGATACTGTAAAAATACTTACTGTGCATGGAGTGGTGTTTCCTTCTTTTGAATTAGGGGCAAAGATGGAATTGAGTTTTAGGGTTTTGAGAACTTTGGAGAGGGATTTCAAGAAACTTGTTAAATCCCAACCGTTGGATAAAGAAAGAAAGTAATCACTGATTGATCCCACGAGAGATGCACTATCGCCTTCGATCTTCATTGATTGAGGGCAATCCAGTAAAACAAACCCGGAAGTTGACCATTTGACCGAGTCTTTGGAAGTTTGGTTACCCAAATTTTGAGGTGAATGAGTTCCCAATTTGCAGGTTTCATAAACTGTATGAAAACAGACACTTAGTTCATTCAGTCCAAAAAAGAAAAAGAACTTAATGGAAAAAGAAGAAGACAAGTAATTATGACACACCAGTGTCGAGCTGTTGAAAGAAGTCTGCAGCAGCAGTTGTAAGGGGATCGATATCTGGACATACAACGCAATAATTCATCTGCAAAAATTATGTGAAAGAAGATAATGAATTAGTTGACAATTATTAATAAAAAGTTAAAAACTAATGGTAAATTAAATTTTTCTCACGTGTTTCTGCATAGCATAAGGTTCAAAAGGAGCTTTTTCCCAATGTTGAAGAGAGCTTGCTGATGTCTTTAGCCAATCATCTTGGTACCTGTTGTATTTGTATACATCCTTTTAGAGTTTGACCGGTCAAAATAACATTACAAATACTTTATATTATAAAAAATGAAAACTAAAAATCATACCCAACAAGAATAGCAGGAATAGGAAGCACAAGAAGTGCAGGCCTGAGGCCGAGTTGCTGCTCTGACTCATCTTGGTTTGATCTTCTTTCGCTTACATCATCAATTCGATTTCCATCTATCAACAATATGTGATTTTTATTTTATTAAAACAATAAATAAGTATATAACAAAATGTATTTACTATTTACTAAATGAGTAAAAATATTTACTACCTTTGCTAAGACAGGATGTTGATCCACCAGCAGATTGAGATGGGCTTGTTGGTGTACTTGAAGAATCTCTACAATCGTTTATACTTGCTGATGACTCAGCTGAAAACCCATCAATTTGACCATTTCGCCCTTTGCACCAATCCGTGACTAACAAGGGTCCATCAAAGTTGCCAAAAGCCGATTTCAAGGCTAATTTTATGTCCGATTGTAGTAATGTTATAGCATATGATGCCGGAACCTGAAACATAACATTAAAGTTATCAAACATTAATTAAAAATACAAAATTTCCCAAAAATGTAGAATGATTACATCTGTCATAAGTCATAACCACAGAACAAGTTGTACTAATGGGGGGCAAAATAGTCTTTTAGTAAAAAAAAAAAAAGTGTGGAAGCTTACATCAGCGGAAAGTGGATCCGCTAACTCAACACCAGCAATATCAAGAGAATGAGAAGCCGCCAACACACCGCCACAACCCGCATGAACCAAAGCGGGCCCACATGAAAACCCGCGTCTCCATTGCTCTTGCATTGCCAACCACCCGTAGGGCCCGTCTCCACAATCCGAATCCAAAGTCACATCAACAAAAGTCAACGCTTGTTGAAAAAGCAAAGACATTCCATCAAGAAGCTCTAAAAGAGGTTGCCTTTGACCATATGACAACAACATTCCTTCCTCAGTAAAAGAATTATGAGGAATATTCCCGAAAGATTCCATATTCTGTGTCATGCTCATTGCCTTTGACCCTTTCGCGACACCAACTGTCCTCCAAACACCAACAGGCGAGTTCAAAGGCCCATCTAGAAGCCCAGTGTCCATGTCACCACCCGCGATTCTAACTGGAATTGTTTCTTTCTTTTTTATATCGTATTTTGATGACATGTTATCCCCCAAAACATTCGATTCACTATGCATTTGATACAAAATTGTATTATTATTATTACTGTTGTTGTTGTTGTTGTTGTTGTTCCTGGATAATCTGTTTGAAGCTAATAATGTATGTCTTATTCTACACATAAAAGCTTGAAACATGACGCATTCGAGTTCATTCGCGACACCTGTCTTTGATGACAAAACAAAATTCTCCATTCCTAATCCTCCTTCCAAAATCTTTGATCTTGAAGCAGTATTTAAAGAACTGAAACCTTTAGCATTAGCAACATCTTCTTCAAAACCAAAACTGTCGCGAAACGAAAGCTTTTCATCCTTTTCATCTTTTGTATCTTTAAGTTTTCCACTTTCCACATGAGTGTAGTAGTTCTTATCATTCAAATTCGCACCCGATTTATCATCAGATAAATCATGCTTAGGAGGAATTGAAGAGTAGATGTAATTATTCGTGCTTGAATTTGCACTTTCGGTTGTTCTTGATTTTGGGACATATGGAGTTTTAATGACAGTTAATAACAAGTCATTTCCCGGGGTTTCAACTGCTGAATATTCAGGTGCGAATGTCATCATGGCTTCTGCTTTTATTACATAATCAAACTCAGTGTTGTTAGCTGGTGGGTTGTAGTTCATTGAGCCTGATGACACTGTTTCTTTTGTGAGTTCTTGATTTTTGCTTATGGATTCTTCTATAACAGTTGATGGTGGATTAAAACTTTCAAAAGATGAAAACCCAAGTGGAATAATGATCTGATCAGATGCATCCATCATCCCTGTAAATGGGCTGCTACTTGCATCTCCACCATCCGTTGCAGAAAACATGGGAGTTTGTGTTTGTGACTCTTCAGTCCCTGGTGGCTTTAAATTTTTCAAAAAAACATCATAAAAGTTTAGAAGAAAAATAAAAGTTTTTTTCTTAAAGATTTCATTGTTTTGTAATGTTATCACTTACTTCTCCAAAAGGTAAAGCATCATTTTCAAAAAAGTCTCCAAAATCTCCAAACTCTGAGAGAAGTGCTTGGATGTCCATGCCCATGCCTCTGTCATCATCATCCCAATCCCACTGGGACCCACCTTGCTCATTGTTGACCTCCATTGACCCAAAGTCATTAATGACAGCTCCAGCTTGACCATATGACTCAGTCATTCCAGGCCTGGATCGCTTGCTACCCTGCATAATTTTATATGATTCATAGAAAAAAAATACATACTTTAAGAAAATAATGCAAAAAGAAAAATACAAAGTATAAGTGATTTTCCTATAATTTGGCCCAAAAGTGAAATTACTATTTAGATAGATGATTGTACCATTTTGGAGGCATCAATATGCATTTGATCAGCAGAAGTTAATCCAGATTTTATGCAAGAAAGAGAATCAGCATCAGCCTCAAGGTCACCAGTTTCTGCTGTCATTCTATAATCACTATCACTGGATGAACTTGTGCTAATACTGCTACTATTACTATTCCCACTACTATTGTAACCCTGTTGACAACGGATGCTTGCATCATGCCATGATCCATCCATGCTACTCAAAGCATCACTACACAGATCCAAACAGAATTTAGATTATGATTATGTAATTGTAAATGTTACAATGTTTTTGTATGTGTTAATTGAAAACAAAAAGACTTACCATTGCATAGAGAAAGAGGAACCAGACAATGATGGGCCCATCCAGTTTTGAAGCCAGAATCTATACAATAAAGTAACACTTAGTGAACATATATAGATAATAGCAATATAAGTTTATTTACTTTTTTTTTTTAAATAATGAAAGATAAAGTGGGATGCCTTTTTAGAGAGGATCTAGCAGATGATGTTTGAACAACGGGTACAAGAACTGCTTCGGTTGGATATATGAAAGTTTTATCGTACGTGGGCCCCTTCTCATTTTCAGTTGAATGATGCTTTGAAAAGTTTTTAGTTGAATTTGATGGTAATGGTTTCTCACTTTTGACACTTTCGCACCCTAGGGTTACTTCAAGGTAACATTTTTGGCCCCTGAGTTGGCACCCGGAGGTTTGGGACATTTGGTTTGGAAGACCTACAATTCCATTTGAAGCCTTGAACTTTCCAGAACTGTTCATTACAAGAAAAAACAAGAAATATGAGTTATGTTATTATTATTAAGCTATTAATTATTATAAAAAGAAGTTATGAAATGAAGGAATACCTGAAATACAATTGCTTCACAAGATCACCTGGACAAAATCCTGTAAGTCTGCCACGCATTCCATGAGGTGAGGCAATAACTGCATAAGCAAATACTTTATAGAGTTAAATACAAGAAATAGCAATGTACTTTTCTTGATTTGTTAACTATAGCATTCTACTTTCATTTCTTCTTATTAAAGAATTGTTTTTTGGAAATCCAAATATAAATGGATAGATTTTTAGAGTATAATGGTCCAAAAAGAAAAAGATTTAGCAGTTATTGCTATAATTGAATAGATTTTTTCAAAGTACAATGCTTTAATAAGAAAAAAAAATGAGAGTAAAAAGTTGTAATAGAAATAAATGAAAGTAGGATGCTATAAATCAACCTGGAAGCCTGTCACTAGAATGACTAGACGTGCGCTTCAAGATTGCCTCCATGTCACCATTTGAAAGTGCCCGAACATGCCTGGTAGCAAGAAGGGTATAAATGTAAATATCTTCATATAGCAAATAAGAACTCATAAGTCATAAAGACAATTGATGATTTGATGAAAGAAAAAAAGAAGGAAGAAAGCAACAAACTTTGCAGATATTATGACATGAACGAATACTGCTTCTTCTGTTGCAGTAAATATGAACTCAAGCATTGGTCTGCCTCTCCTACAATGGCAAAAATCGTAATTTTTAAGCTACTTAAACACCCAAAAAGTAAAAAATTATAGAATATCAATGATCATACCTGAATGATTCTCCTTGTGAAGATGGATGGTATCTTGAAAATACATCCCCAAATCTCATATATGAAAGATTTACTAATGCTCTGTCAACATTAGAGAAAAAGAAATTCATAGGTTTATTATATAGTTTTCTTCAAGAAACCTAAATAAAGAATAGAAAAGGAAAAAAAAAAAAAAAAAAAAAAAAAAAGAAGAACCTTTCAATACAATTCCTTAAAGCTTGAGAAAGTGCAGCTGCCACCTCTTCAGAATCCCCAGGTGCTAACCAAACTCCAGATGCAAGAACTGCAACAAATTATGAACATGGATTACACTATGATTGCTTATAAGTTATATCTGCTTTCATTATTTTTGTAATTTTATAGTATTGTTGCTAGTATATGTTTTCACAGATTATAAACATGGATTGCAACAAATAAGTGTACCTCTTAGTTTAGATACAATGGCTTTGGCTTTATCATTGGGAGACGAATGGCGACCAGGGATAAAAAGCCATAGCTTGATTTTCTCATCTACAAGATTTTGTCAAGTAAGAATTAGTTGGAGGACTAAATATGTCACTTTTTCAATTCTTGAAACAGGTGATTAAAGAGTTAAATGTTTACCAGGGTTATGTAGACCCTGAGATGGATCCCAAGGGCCAACAAAAGAATTACCCCAAGTGCTAAGGAATCCATCTTTTTGTAACTGCAAATGGGATGAAAGGACTAATTGTGCAGCAAAATCTCTTTGGTTCAACTTTGCACTGTGAAAACATTGAAAAATATATGATTTTTAGCAAGAATTGATAAATTATAATATACTAAAGTATTAAAATTTATGAAAATAAAGAACCTTCTATCAGAAATGTTGGGATCAGATTCATTCGGGAGATATTGGAACCATGATACTTGATGTAGACCACCCTTCAGAAAAGTCAAAGAGAGAAAGTAAATGAGAATATGAATAATAAAATCATGTGATCTTTAGAAACAATAACACGTGTCCAAAATGGAAGAAAATCAAGAACTTGAATAATTAACTGAATATGATAAGTAGATAGCAATGGTTAACATTACTATAGCCGAATACAAGCGATAATAATATATTCAAAAGAAGATTAGTGTAAAGGGAAGAAACATACGATTTTGAAGACATTTGTCCACATCACTAATGCACTTGAACACCTCCCCACAAGTTCAAATCAGGTAAAAACTTTGTTCTATTGAAAGCCACATTCGTATCCTCATTCAAGTAAACTGGTAGAGGTCTTCCCCTAGACAACTGAAGGAAATTGAAATCAGCCAATTGTATGGTTTGTGATCAGAATCAAATGAAATTATTAGCAACTGAGGTTAAGAAAAATTTCATTGATTGAATAAAAGAGATACAGAGTGTTTAAAGTAGTCGTATACATGATGTTTGTGTGACATGTGAGGGATCATAATGAATCCCTAGCTAGCCCTAGAAACTTCAAATTTGATCAAATTAAAGCACAATCAGAGTAACAATTGGAAACCTAGCTCCATAATCGCATATAAAATATGGACCCAATATAGACAATGAAAAAAACTAATGCGAAAATCCCCAAAAATATAAACATACAGATAATATGAACTGAGATTAATGGCAATTGCATACCTAATCATAGATTACGAAACATTTTCCCCTGCTGCATCAAGCTACTAGCTGGCCCACGCGTTGATTGAAGTATTCAAAGGCAAGGTTCAGCTACTGAGGATTTCAATTTCAACTATAGAGAAACAAATTTAAGAAAGGAAGTAAGTTGCTAAAATCGAATAAGCTAAAGAGTGGAAAAACAACAAATTTTAGCTCTGATTAAGTGAAACGGTGGAGATTTCGAGAAAACTGAAAACGGGTTTTCAATTAAGACTTACGGGGGTGAAAGAGATCTGTAAATGTGCGAATTCTGGGTAACCAATGAAGAAATTTTATGAAACAACGAACAGAATACGAACCCTTTGCGTTGAAAGATTCCCTTTTTAGCAAGAAAAGCGAAGGGTTTTATGTGTTGGGGATGGTAAGTGCTGCTATGGCTGGATTCTCCTGTGAAGAATCGATCCTCCACTCCTTTTCCTTCCGTTTTTTTCTCGTCTTTCTTTTTCCGGTTTGTGGTTTATGGCTTGTTGGTGTGTACTGTGTCGTCAAGGCTGACGAATCCATTTCGTGCCCTGTGGTTTTGGAATTCGACACTTGACTCCCCTCAAGATTTTTAGAATTTTCACTTTGAAGTAGTAATAAATTGTTATATACAGTATTTTTTTTTGGAGCGGGTTGTGTCAACGGAAGCTCCTTCACATATTTCAGTAAAGACCTCGAGATCAAATCATCCAATAGATTGTTATATGAATGATTTGGGAAACAAGGATGTGATATAAGTAGAGACAAGGTATAGAAGTGAATATTCATAATAAGGTCAAAATGTATATTCATCTCATTCATCTTATTTTTACCATACCTCATTTTTTTGTCATTATTCCTTTATTTTTTTCATACTTCTTATATATTGTTTAATAAATATGAATCAATAGGATATTGTATTGCAAGTGTCAAAACAATGGAGAAAAAAAAGGAGGTTATGTAGTGGTTTCAGTTATCATAGTGGAAGGTATTATACTCATCACACCACTTGGTGTGATGTTCTCCCACCTCCCTTCAATACCACAACACCCCTGCCACATGTTGTGGTGAGGGTACATGTAACACTTGTGCCCTGGTATGTACCTTATGACCCCTCTATTTTGAAATTATGCATTTTGGTCCCTAAAGTAGTATGCGGGGCGTACCACTTGGTACGCTTAGCGTCCTGAGTTATTGGTGAGTCGGGACCTAGATCACGTACGTTGGGCGTATGTGTACTTTAATGAAACCCTAATTGAGGGTCTTGCACCCTATATAAGCCACTTTATTCTCTAGGGTTGGCCTCATTTCCAGCATCCAAAGCCTCCAAAACCCTAAATCGAGTTGTAGCCTCCATTGTTAAGCATTTGAGCCTTTGAAGAGAGTTTGGTGTTTATTTTGTGCAATGTGAAGGAGTTAGAAGATCTTGAAGTTGCTAAGCTTGGAGAGGAAGTCTTGGATCCAGAACCACTACCCATTTTGCAAGGAGTTTGAGGTATCAAGTATTATCTTGATTAAAAGTTGCTTAGATCTCTTTTTGGGTTAAGTTTTTATGTTTTTAGCCATGGTTTGGGTGAATGATGGAATTAGGACATCCCAAAGACTTATTCTTTCCGATCTAAGGTTATCATGGGCTCCTTAGGCATAAAGGTGCCAACTTTATGGGGTTTAGGGCCTCATACATTCATTAAGTCTCTTATTAAATCCTTGTTGAGCTTTAGAGCTTCATATAGCCATGCATGGACGTAAAGTTGGCAACTTTACGTGATAACCCAGCTCAAGGAGGTCAGATCTGCATTCTGGGGCGAAGTCTTAATGGGTTGAGAGCTAAATCTAGAAGATGGTTGATCTGGATGAGTACGTTGTGTGTACAAGCCTGTACACACAGCGTACAAGCCTTCGAGCCAGTACGCTTAGCGTACAAGCTGAGTACGCCTCGCGATCTCAGTCAGGTGGCATTTCAAAGTTGGGCCTTAGGTTTGGGCCACGTTTTGGGCTTAGAAGGTTAGGGGTTTAGTTGGGCCATCTGATTTTGGGATTTTTGGGCTAGAAATATTATTGGGCCTTGGGCTAAGGCCCATAAGAAGGAATTGGGCCCAATTTGGAAAATTGGGCTATAAGTGGGCCTTAAAGGATTATTCGATATTGGGCCTTTTAGATTTTGCATTTGGGCCTTAGTCTTAGACCAAGCTAGGTCAGGGGTAAAATTGTCATTTCACCCTAAGTATGGATCATTAGTTATAGTCTTGAACCCAAGTGTTAATTAGGTGTTATTTTGTACCGATAGCCCGGGGAGTCGTCAGGACAGCAGCTAGGGATCTTTCGTGAGATTTAGCATTCGAGGTGAGTTTCATCACCATGTATAGCGGGTCGAAGGCACAAATGCCGACCCATGATATGATCTGTTAGGATACTCATTGTCTGTGTGACACTAGTATGTATATGTGCTTGTATGTTTTCTGGGCGGGGCCCGATAATTATCCTTTATGTAATTAGTTGCTATATGGTTTGTATGTAGGTAGGGACCGTTATGCGAGTTAGGGCGGGGCCCGTTATACTTATTGGGCAGGGCCCGTTATGCAAGTTAGGGCGGGGCCCGTTATACTCATTGGGCGGGGACCGTTATATGTTATGTATGTTGGTATGTGGTACTTTGGGGAACTCACCAAGCTTTGTGCTTACGGTTTTTAGTTTATGTTTCACGTACTTCCGATTCCAATGGGAAGAGCTCGAGTTGACTGCATCACACACACCATATGGATTCTGTTTATGGGACACACTTTGATTTCTATGATGTTTGACATACTTATTTTATTTGGGTTGTATGAACAATGATTTGGAATATTGTTTTTACTTGAATGAAAAATGTAATTTTTGGGTCACATTTTTAGGATGTTACAGTACATCTATTGGCCTAACCATTATATAATATTGTTGCATGAATAATAATTTAGCTTGCATCTAAACATGTCATTTAGTGAGAACCAATTAAGCTAGATCATAGAACTAGTTGAGATTAAACTGTAATGAAACTGAAAAATATAAAATTGTGTTTCTTATAAATGTATAGAAAAACAAAAATTAAAGAGGTGAAATTCTTGAATCTGTTTATTAAGAAATCTCATATTAGTTTTTTAATAAAAACATTAAACGTAATATTTACAAGTTATTATATATATATATATATATATATATATATATATATATATATATATATATATATATATAACTTGTAATTTATACTCTTTCTAACATATTTCATAAAAAGGATTTTTACATATTTTTCATGTTTATATATGGTTATAAGTGGGTTATAGGAAAGGTGATATCCATATGGATATCAATGATCTAATCATAAAGCAAATTGCTCATGTTAATTAAGATTCACAATCGAAAACTTTATTGTTTGAAAATATCCTAAGACATTTCATAAATATCTTTTTCATATAGTAAAAAAAGACAACTTCTAATGTGAAAAATAAGAATCATTTCATGAAACTACCTGCAGAGAAAGGTTTTAACTAGTCAAGTCCTTAGCATTTAAAAAGTTTAAAGTGTCGAGGCATATGAGGTTGTAACAACATAATCAATAAACAAAGGTAAAGTAACATCCTTACATACATCGTAAATTTCAAATACTTTAACTTTTAATATCCAATTGTTAAGTTCATATTGGTCTCAACTAAGTTTTCAAATTTGAACACATGTCAAAATACGTAGATTGTGCTTAGGGAGACTATTAAGCAATATCGGGATCAAACCTCTTAAGGGTGTTTGATAGAGTCAACTATCCAAGCCTAATAAAGTTAAAAACCTATAAAAATGTTTTTAAAACTTAAAAGCATAATAAGTGATCATCGTTTAGGGAAAGAAACATATTAAAGTTAAATAAATATTTAGAAACATTAACAAACACGAAATAACAAATTCAAATAAAATGTAAGGGAAAATGACATTCTACCACAATCAAGTTTTGTGGTTATCTTAGATTGACCATTTATGTTTTTTTTGGCACAACAGACCACTAAAGTTAACTTTTACATGTCAATTACACTATTATATGACCTAATGTGGGGAGAGACAGTTACTTTGGTGATGTAGCATTTTAAATTAGATATTTATATATTTTTTAAAGGTCATCTAATATCCCTCACAGTATTTGGCATACTCAATGTCATTTTTGGACTACTAGCATCGCTCTCTTCATACTACTTAACCTATGTCCTCCTTCGTTTTCTCACCGGATTTAGCATCGGTCACTGTATGTTCGTCCTCGCCACCAAGCATGTCGAACAATCGAAGCGTGGTATGGTCGGAATGTCTAATTTTTATTTCTTCTTCACCAGAATCGCCATCCTCGCCAGAATAGCTTATATTTTTCGAACATGGCGGACTTTAGTATATTGCTTCATCGATCCATTCTCTCGTTTTTTGTTTTTAATCCTCCCCCTCGTAATAGCTTATGTTTTTAATCACTCAAATATCTCGTGACTCGGATACGTTTGATTCTCGTCATCAGAATCAACTTCATGTGCTCTATCGTCTACCATGGTCTCAGTTTAAACATGGTGAACCTGTAAATCAAAAAAATGTCTAATGAAATCTCTTATTTACTACCTGCAACTCAAAATAACGAGATTAAAAAAGAAGTTAATCACCAGTACCACCACAGTCCACCGCTGCCATCCACCACAAAATTTGGAGAGTCAAAACGATGACCTTCAAGAAAAATAATACAAAATCGATTACCTTCAAGATCTTGCCAATAATGAATCCTTTTTTGCACATTAAATTCGTTGGATTAAGTGTGTTAGGTCCTAACTAAATTGGTATAATGTTGATGAATAAAAGTAAAATCCTTTTTGGGTTGCCCCAATAACCAGGAAATGGATTGTATTAATCAAATGATAGAGATAAAATGATATGTTAATATATTATGTGATTAATATATTAATTAGAAATAGTTAATTGATGATTTGTTAATTTATTATATGTATAATAAATTAATTAGAAATAGTCAAAATTGGTTAATTCTTAATCAGAATTAATCGGGAATTAATTTGGGATTAATTTGAATTAATTAAATGTGTAGGGGGTGAATTGTAATTGTTCAATAGTTGAAAAAAAAGACAATTCTATAATAATCCATGGCATGGACGGTTTTGGAGTCTTTCTTAGGGTTTCAAAAAGTCTCATAATTGCTAATAAGGAACTGATTTGAATTTGGATTAAATATATTATTTAATCATTCAAATCTTCTTAACTATGAATTTTGATTCATAGGTTTTAGTTTGTGTATTTCATAAGTATATTGATATTAGACGTGAAAAGACATAGATCCAATTTAGGTTGTATGTACCCTTAAGTGTTAAGTGATATTCCGCAAGTATATTGTTATTGTAACCTAGAATTCCCATCAGTGGTATTAGAAACTTTATTTTCACATTAATGGTACATAATAGCTAAAATCGAAAGAAACA